CTACGCCGCCCCTCAAGAGAAACCCGTTTGCCCTTGCCACGCTGGACGTGACAATATATCAATGTGCATCCATCTAGAAGTAAATATTGCTTCATGGAACTTGAATTTTAGTATGGATGGATGTGTGTACAGGGTGGCGATGTGAACTTTGCTTCTTACTTTATGGCATCTTCTCCAAAACGAGGGTAAAAAGTTAAAGTTGCTAATTTAAGGTTTAGCTATCTCTTTCCATGTATTGCGGACAAGTTATCTCATTAAAATCTCTCTAGAACTGACATGGTAGATATGTTTAGTTTCCTGGTTTATGGTGAAAACTCAGGAGGGTCTGTAGATTGCTCCAGGTCACCCACCAGGTGGGGGAGGGAGCTGGGGCTGTCCAAAACCTGGAAGTCATCCTGTTCTCTATAAAACAGGAAGAAGGGAACCAGGAAGTTTGAGAATTTATTAAAGAGAAGAGGATATGTGTTCCACCAAAATTAGGCATAAGTCAAGAAAGGAACACATGAGTGTTGAGTGATAAAAATAAAAGTGCTTAGAGATGGAAAGTGTGTGTATATGGATGAGAAAGGCATCAACATTTGCCAGATAAAAACAAAACTGAAATTAATAAATTCAAAAGAAACTGTGCATGTAACCAGGCCTTCGAGGAAGAGAAACAAGACAAGAGGAGCCAAGGGGCTGCCAGTGGAATGCTTTGCGTTATTTTTAGCACAACTGTGAGGGCAGCCAAGACCACTGATCCCAGCTTAATGGAAATGACAGTTCGAGGAAAACAGCTGCGTGCAAATGAAGCTGTAATTAGGAAAGAATTTCTACTTGGTTTATCTTTGCAAAAAATTTGAGGAGGCGTTTAAGAGGTTTGCTTGGTGATCAAGCTTGATGTCCTGAAAGGAATGACAATCAGTTGCTTAAAAGGTGAGTTGGAGCATGCACAATGGTGGTGGTGGGGGGGGGGAAGGACTTCATTCAGGTCCTGAGACTTTGCTAGAAATCACTGTTATACACTAGCTAATATTTATTGAGCATTTACTAAGGGCCAGTTACTGTATTAAATGCTTCATGTGTGTTGTCCATTTAATCCTACAACAGTCCTATAAAGTGTGTATTATCAGTGCGCCCATTCTACAGCTAAGGCAAGTGAGGCTTGGGGAAGGTCACTTTCTTCATATCCCACAGTGAGTGATCGGCAGCACTAGTATTCGAATTCAGGTTTTCTGGCTAGGAAGCCTTAAGCATTCATATCACCTTCCACTGACCTGGAAGGTCCTTGGAGAAATGACCCAGAGGAAGATAGAGCGCATGGTGCAAAGGGTATTATTACTCAAGAAGCTGGGCTCAGACGCAAGGAGGGCCGTGGGGCTCCTGGGAGGGCCAGGCCACCCAGGGGTCCCTGCTTCTTCTTTGCCTCTCTGGAAAGTCTCACCACGCGGCAGGCGTCTAGATCCAGTTCTCTGGAGCTCGGCTCAGGCGCTACCAGGGCCGCGACTATAGGTGCGCCCGTGCAAAACCACCAGCGTGGCCAGGGAGACCAGAATCAGGCCCGCCAGCCCCAGGCGGATGAGGTTGCCCAGGGTGTAGTCCGAGGAGTCGGAGCCTGAGGGTCGAGCAAGGGACAGAGACTGTCAGCTACCCAACACGAAGTGTAGGCCCCACCCTCGGGGGCTCTAAACTCTAGTGTGAGTTGGGGACCCGACCCCCTCAAAATTGAGAGGGTCGATGGGAGGGATAACCTTGACTCCTGGGTCTAAGGGAGGAGGGGCTGAGGGTGATGAAGCCCCTCACCGTTCGAGCTGATGACCAGTGGCTCGCTGCGCTGCGACAGCACGTAGGGAGCAGTAACCGTGTGGTAGTAGCAGCTGTAGGTGCCGGGGGCGTGGGCGCCGGGCAGCGGGAAGTCAGCCCAGGGCTGCGTGGAATCCCGGTACTGCAGCGGAGCCGCCTCGCCCACGCGGTACAGCACGAAGCTCATGTTCCACATGCGGCCCGCGCAGCGCAGGCACACGATGTCGCCGGGCGCCACCACGGGCCCCGGCAGCGCCACCAGCGACGGGCGCGGCATCTCATCTGCGAGGGGGGTGGATGGAGACGAGGGTGGGCGCCGCCCGGAGCCTCCCGGGCCTCTCCTCCCTCTTGCTTGACTCCTCCTCCCTGTATGTCCCTTTTCCCCTCTGTACCTTGTGCCTAAAATTTTTATCTGTTCATCGTGTGCGTTTCACTCCCCCGGGATCTCAGAGGCAGTGTCTCCTGATTTTTTTCTCCTTGTGTCTCTCCCAAGGTTTCCCAACCTCGGCATTAGTAACACTTTGGATAAATCTGGATAATTCTTTGTTGTGTGGGGTGGGGGTAGGGGGCTGTCCTGGGCGTTGAAGGTTGTTTTGCAACATCTCTGCCCTCTGTCTACTGGATGCCAGTAGCACACCCTTCCCTAGTCGTGACAACCAGAAATGTCTCCAGATCTTGCCAAAGATCACCTGGGGGACACAATCACCACTGGTTGAGAATCAGCCATTTCTCTGGTTCTCTCTCCCCCTCCCCCTCTCCCTCCCCCTCCCTCTCTCTCTCTCTCTTTCTCTCTTTCCCTTTCTCCCTCCCTCCCTCTCTCTCTCCCATGTGTCATGATACAAGACTGTCTCTGTATGTCTCTATCTCTGTCCCTCCTCCCCCTTCCCTCATCCCACTCCTGTGTCCCTTCTCCTTCCTCTCCCTCAGGACCTCACCTGTCACCAGCAGTTCCAGGGCATCACTATGGTGGGACCAGACACCTGGCGCCCAGCTCAGATTCCGGTAGCAGCAGCGATAACTGCCCCCCTGGGCGGGGGTCACCTTCTCCAGGAAGAACTCCGCCAGTTCCACAGACACATCCCGGTACAGCATGGGGGCGATCTCTCCAGACTTGAAGAGGGCAAATCTCCAGGCGGGTTGGGGTGCCCGGCACGTCAAGGTCACATTGACTCCGGGGGTCACAACTGCAGCTGGCTGAGCCCCCAGCCACGGCTTGGGGTATGAGGCTGGGGGACTGAATAAACCGGTGGCCTGGGTCCTCAGGCTTCCTGGGAACCCAAGGAGATGAAAGGGAAGCTGGGGCGGTAGGAGAATCACGTGGGGGCAATCAAGGCCTCTTTCTCAGCTTCAGTTCCCCTTTTTGTAAAATAGGGGAGGTGCTGGACCTCCAGTGGGCTTTGTCAAAACTAGCTACAGTTGGGTCCTAGAAATCTGTGATTTTAAATTGCTCTCCAGGATATTTGTAACATATCCAACGTATTTCAATAGCTGCCAAACTTGCTGTCTATTTTGGGGGTAAAATGTTAGATTTCTACCTCATAACCTTCCCCCAGACAAATTCCAGATTAATTAAAGAACTACATGCGTTTTTTAAAAAAACTATAAAAATATTCGAAGAAAATATAGGAAAATATATTTCTCTTGGGGGTAGAGAAGGCTGTCTTAAAATATAAAAGGAAAAATTCAGAAGGGACAAGGTTAGTAAATTTGACCCTTTCAACATTTTCAAGTTGTATATGGGAAAAGACAAATAAATGAGTCTAGAAGACAAATGACAGCACTGGCAGGAATGACTTATTCATAAATCGCATAAGAGTATAGAAAGAAATCCTAGGACCAACCCAAATGAAAGGTGGGCAAAACATATGACTAGGCAATTCACAGAACAGGCTGTCCAACTGATCAAAACACATTTGGTAGTGGTGGGAAGCATTGTTCAACCTTAGTAGTAAATATTTTTAAAAAAGAGATATTTTTACTATCAGTTAAAAAATTAAAACAATGGTTAATATTCTGCTTGGGTGGAGATGTGGTGAAACAGGCACTTGTGCACCTTTTGAGAAGGCAGTTGGTCAATTTCTATCTAGAACCACAAAGGGCTTGACCAACAACCCGATAATTTCACTACTGCACCCTAGATAAAGGCACATATATGTGCACAAAAAACTCATACAGGGCACTCACTGCAGCACTGGTTGTGAGGAGGGAAACTGGAAACAACCTAAATATATATGAAGAAGGTTAAATAAACTAGAACTTGGCCACACAATGGCAAATGCTGGACAGCATTTAAAGAGAAAGAAAGAGAGAGAGAGAGAGAGAGAGAGAGAGAGAGAGAGAGAGAGAGAGAGGAGCTAAATGACATGGAAATATCTCCAAGAGATTATAAAGTGAAAAATGTAAGATGCAGAACAGTGTGAGTCATGAAATATCATTTTTGCCTTGGCAAGAAAACCAAAAAGTACATAAACATGTGTCTGAATACTTGGAAAATTTTTGTAAGGGTTCAGAGATTATTTAAGGAAGATGAGAAATGGAAAAAGAGAGGCAGTTATAATATATGTCCTTTGGCAATGATTGAATTTTTAAAGCCATTAATATATATTAGCTTTGTCATTTAAAAATAATCATTTAAAATAAATTCATAGCTAAGGTATTAATGGTTCTTATTTGAAGCCTGAGTGTAGTGCAGGGAGGTTGAGAGAAAGTAGAGGTCTCCCCATCAGAAAACCTGGAAAGAAACCCAGGAATATCTCAGGGTGGAGGACTCTACTTTTTCAAAGGGGGAGATAATTAGCGTTGCCAGAAATCCTATCTCTTGAGTCCTGTGCTATGTCAAGTTCTGAGCCAGGGGTTTTTCATATGTGATTTTTATTAAATCCTCACAACAGCCCATTTCACAGAAAAATAAACTGAAACTTAGTATGCAATGGTTCAGTTCATAAATGAATATGATGGTGAAACTGGGGTTCCAGCTTAGGTCTCTTTAGCTCCACAAAGTTCATGGTCTTTACTGCTCACCTATACTGGTCACTAAAGGGAGTGAGGACAGAAGGAAAGAAACAAAGGAAGGGGAGGGAGGGAAATAAGGACATTTGGGGTGAGGGTGGGCACCAAAATAAAATCTGAGTAGTTGGAAATGGGATGTTAGCAACATACAGGAGAATGGATGGGGGTTGTTACTCACCAGTTGGAGTGATGTTTGTGTGACACAGAGTCCCTGTAGAAGGTTGAGGAGGCTTAGTCTTGGTAAAGCCCTAGGCCGCTCCCAGCCCCATGTCATTGGCAACCCAGGAATCTAAGTCCCCAGGCTCTTTTTCCTCTGGGAAACAGGAATCTTGCCCACATTTCCTCCTCTCTCAGTAGCCAGACTTCCTATCCCCACCTATTAAGAAACCAGAAGTCTTTTGCCCCGTATCCAAACGTTCAGGCTCTTGGACTTCACCTTTTCCAGGAGACAATAATCTTGGCCCATGGTTTCTCCTTTCTAGAGTCCAGGAGTCTGGGCCCCAGCTCACCCCTTTCCCAGGGACCCAGGTTTCCTGGCTTCCATCTCTCCTCCCACATCAGAATCTGGGACTCAACACTCGCTATCCCCAGGAGTTCAGGTCATCGAGCCCTCTCCTGCCTCAAGAGCTGGAGAAACCTACCCTCAACTTCTTCTTCATCCAGGAGTTCAGGGCCTCTGTGTTCTCTTCCTTTAGGGCCCAGGGGTCTGGGCTCCAGTCCTGTCCTGTTATTCTGGCCTAGAGTGCTAAACCCTTAGCTGGTGCTGCCTGATCATCCTACCCCCACCCTCAGGGAGACCAGTAGTCCTGTCCCTTGCTCCCTCCCCACCTCTTTGGGTGACTGGGTCCCCAGAGCCTGTCTCTCTGCATCCCAGAGACCCAAGCAGAAGGGCGTGGGTGGCTCACAGAAGGTCAGCAGCTGGAAGATCAACACCAGAGCCATGGTGGACAGGTTGACTGGAGCGAGAGCAGGAGCCAAGGCTCAACCCTGCCCTCTCGCCTTCCAGGAAGTGAGGCAACATCAGCCTGTTAGAGGCAGAGCCCTGTTTAGGGAAGGGAGGAGCGAGGTGAGGTCCCCTGGGTGACTGTCACAGCCCCATGTGGAAAAACTTGGGATTGGGGCAGTCATAACCGATTGTGTTCATTAGTTAAACTTAAAAAAAAATTTAGCCAAACAAAACAAAACAAAACAAAAAATGATGCCCCCCCCAAAAAAAATAAAAAAAAATTAGCACCTATTATGTGCCAGACCCCGCTGCATGATTCTGGGGTCACAGAGAGGACTCAGATTCTGTTGTTGCCCTCAAGCAGATCCCAGTCTGATGGAAAGGCAGATCCGGACCAGGTCCGTTAAAAAGAAAAAAGAAAAAAAAGTGATGTGCGCTATACTGGAGGTCCCATAGGGCACCGTGAGTGTCCACAGAAGGTCCCTAACCCTTCTGTGATGAGAGTTAGGGCTTCCAGGACGAACTGATTTTGAGCAGCGATCTCAAATGATAGGTTATTCGTCCTCTCCAAGACTCCGTTTCTCAATCTGTAAAATGGGCTTTCATAAGTAAACTATGAAATGAGGACTACCGCATTCCGCCTCCGGTAGGTTGCAGCAGGAGGACTGGAAGTCACGCCGGAGCGACTTCCAGGGTAGGGAGAAAAGAGAGCGAAGGCAGCGGTGCCAAGACAGGCTTACGCTTAAATCTGGAGCGCCGCCTCCCTTCCAGCAGCCGCCTACGAGCTTTGTTCTGCGCCATTGTGCACGCGCGGACTCAGCGGACACTCTCATGCAGGGACCACAACTTCCAGGGTGCTCAGCGTGCTCGCCTCCTCCTTGGACAGCTGTTCTGAACCAGTGCGCACGCGCGGAGTCAGCGGCGCCTCGGGCGCAGGGACCACAATACCCAGGGTGCTCCGCGCCCTCGCTGCCGCGGCTGTCGCCGAGACCAAGATGGCGGGGAGTAAGTGTGGGCGGCGCGATGGGCTTGCAAGATCCCGGGCGGTACGGGTGTAGGGCGCGGCGAAACCCCAGTGGAGACGGTGGGGTCCGGGCCGGAGGGGGATGCAGAAGTCACGGGACGGTTCCTCCAGGGCAGGGGTGGCGCGAGAGGGTTAGAGGTCAGCGGGGACATCCCCTGCAGAGGTGACCCTCCCCGCTCACTCCTCCAGGACTCGCTGCCTTCTTCAAGAATGCCTGGGCCAAGGAGCCGGTTCTGGTCGCGTCCTTCACCATCGGGGGCCTCGGTGCGTGAGCGCGAAAGTTCATCACCCCAAACGACTTTCCAGCTTTACCTCTTCCATCCGCTCCAGAGTTCCCATCGTCCTACCCTCAGCATTCTGTGAACCCATCAGTGTGTACCCACCCCCACGACGTCCCCTTGCCTACCCACATCCCTGATATTATGACCCCTTTACCAACCCCACCCCATACATACCCACCCAAGAGGGCCATAGTCCCACAAGGAGAGGTTCTGAACCCTGGCTGTGCGTTAAAAACACCTGAGCCATAAAAATAATAACGTCTGATTCCTACCCCCTTTCACCATCACCCCACCACCACCACCACCAGATTCTGAATTGAGTTGGGTGGGGGTGGAGGTGTGACTGAGGAATGTGCATCTTGTGAAAATCGCCCAGTGATTCTAAGTGTGCTGCCTTTATTGAGAAACTGCTTTAGAACAGGATTACTTATACTTGAATGTGCACTGGGGTCAGGGAGGGTGGGGAGGGGTCTTGTTAAAATACAGGCTCTGAGTCGGTAGGGCTGAGGCCTGGAACGATGCATTTCTAACAAGTTCCCAGGTCTTGTCAATACTGTTGGTCGGCAGGGCATATACTGGGTAAAGTTCTTAGAACACAGTTGTCCCAGACAGCAGCCACAGGCCACATTGGCCACTGAGCACTTGAAATGAGGCCAGTATGAATTGAGGTGGTACGTGTTGCACTCGTGTAAAGTACACACCGGATTTCAAAGACTTGAATGTGACCAAAAAAACATAAAATACTTCAGTGTTTCTCATGTTGATATGTTGAAATGATGTTTGGGATATGCTAGGTTAAATATATTTTTAAAATTAATTTGTATGTTTTAACTGTAATATGGCAATTAGAAAATGTAAAAGTACGTGTGACTCATATTTTTATCAGACAGTGCCAACCTAGAACATTCCTTTATGTGCCCTACTCCACACCCCAGGTCTCCTGGCTCCTACCATGGATGGACTGTAATTTCTCAGAGATTGTTCCTTGTACAACCCTTTCCCTCAGTTTGTAACCATTCGTTACATTCCCAAGACATACCCTCCAGTATGCTCCATGGCCATCCCCACTCCTTCCCTCTTCTGTGCCCTCTAGGTCCCGCATATCTGAAAGTGCTTGGCTCCCGGCCCTACCTCCAAAAAGTTACAGGCCCTTCTGATAAATGGGGGTCCTAGGGTGCCAAGGGGCCTCCTGGAGGTGCTGTACCTCGTCCTCCCCTCTCCCATGCACTTGACCCCCCCCCACTTTGCCAATGTTCAGCTTCTGCCCTTGCCCTCCCCCCACCCCCCAAACCACCTTCCCTGGTCCTCACCCCTGCCTCTCTCCACAGCTATAATTCTGCCCCCCCTCAGCCCCTTCACCAAGTATGCCACCATGATCAACCAAGTCACACCCTACAACTACCCAGGTGAGTGGGGGCCAGGGCAGGACCTGAAGGGCCCTCCTGTGCTGGGGAGGAGTGATGACGGAAAGGTCTTTCCTCGGCAAGGATCTGAGATTCTGCTGGGCCATCTGGACTTTTGGGGGGAGATATAATTCACATGCTGTAAAATTCACTTCCTGTCCATTTTTGCACTTTTTCTGTTGTGGGTCCAGATTTCATTCCCTCTCTGGGTTCCCTCCCATCTCTTGCTTTCTGGATTTTTGTTTTTCTGGGTCTCCACCTCTCCAGGTCTCTGTCCTGTTTCCTTATCTCTGCTGGATCTTTCTCAGAGTCTCCTTTCTGCATCAACCTCTCTTTGGTTTCCCAAGTCTCTAGGTCTGCATCTCTGACTCTTACTCTCCTGTCTTACCTCTCCCCTGGGGTCCCATTTTCCTCTTTGAATGTAACTGACAGACCAGCCCTTCTCTGAGGGTCCCTGGAGATCTGCTGGTCTCAGTGGCCCCCTCCCTTCCCACAGTGCCCGTCCGAGATGATGGGAACATGCCTGACATACCCAGCCACCCCCAGGACCCCCAGGGCCGAAGCTTGGAGTGGCTGAAGAAACTGTGAGCAGCTCCACTGACAGGGACGAGGATCCCCACCATGGCCCTCAATAAAAATGTGAAAACCAACTCCTGAGTCTGAGGATGTGTGTGATTAGAGGTGGGAGCAGCAGACAGTGGCCAAGGCAAATGTGGGGTCAGTTTATTGTGGGGGGTTGGGGGGTGTCAGTCAAAGGGAGGGCTGGCTAGGGTGGGGTAGGGCAGCAGTTTGTCTGGCCCCCGAGAAACCCAACTCGAGTCCAGGGCCTCATCCGTTTCGAAGCCAAAGTCTTCCTCGACTTTAATCTGGGGAGAAAAGAGTGGGATGTGGGTCAGCCTGGGATCTAGAGAAGGCCCTCGGGCCCCACCGTTCCTGCTCTCCCAGGTTTGGAGAGGCCAGACAGCCTCCAGCGTGTGTCTCAGAGAGTGTCCCCAGGTCCACGGGTCTCCAGCTTCTTGCTTTACCCAAATCTCTTCCACCCATGGTCTCCCATCCTTCCTCCTCCTCCCCACAGCTCCTCCGGATCTTCCATCCTCCTTTCCACACAAGCCTTCCCGGCCTTTTCCAACTCTTTCTCCTTTCCTGCCCAACCCCCACCCCAACCCCCTCCAACCCTTCCTGCTTTACAGCCTTTCTCCAGCTTTCCTAGCCTGCCCCCACCCCCGGGCCTGCCGCTGCGAAGCCCACCTCCCCCAGCCTGTGGGCTCCAGGCCTCCCACCTGCACAGGGGCCAGTTCTGCAGTCAGCGCAGCTCCTGCTCGGCGTCCTTCCCGGGGTGCTCGCCGCCTTTTCCGCCCACTGGGCCCCTCGCCGGGGGCTGGGCTGCTGGGTTCTGGGGGTGCAGGTGTCCTTCTGGGTGGAGACAGCCCCTCTTTCTCTGGAGGCTCGTTCTCAGCATTGCCTGGGGTGGGGGCATCTGTGCCCTGGCTGCCCTCATCCTGGTAGGGAGACAGGCAGGTGAAGGCTGTGTCCTGGGCTCCCTGCTCACTCAGTCCCCCGGAGACTCCATGCTCACCTCCAGCACGATAGTGAACTGGCTGGCGCGGTAGTCATCGCCGTAGGAGTCCAGCACTCTCATGAGGAACCTGCGCCCGGAGGGAGAGAAGTCGCCAGGGGACACCTTGATCTTCTGGAGGTTGGGGAAAGGGGCACTCAACAGCCCAGCTCTGACTCCTTTTGAAACCAAGGTGTCCTTGACCCAGAAGGCTCCAAGCTCAAGGGTCTGAGAGACCCGGGTGCCAAGCACTTGACCAGCCAGTGGGACTTTGGGCAAGACAAGGTGACCTATGCACCTCAGTTTCCTGTTTGTCAACCGGAAATGAACCCTGAATGGGCTGACTGCTGAGAGTGACACTGCAACTAGATTTCTCTAAAGCTGTCAGTGGGATAGCGACTCAGTAAATGTTCAAATGTAAGTTATTATCTTGATTAGTAACTAAAAGTTGAGAGAAGCATGTGCAAAGACTCCAGGAGCCCTCACTCTTATTGATGCCACCTTCTCTTCTTTCTCTGTCCTTGCTTTTAAAAACTTTTTGTTTTAAGCTCTAACCAATTGAATGTTACCTGTAAGCCAGCAAATCCTAATAGGTTAAAAAGTAGGAAAGGAGGGTGGCCAGTAAGTTCAGTTGGTTAGAGCATGGTGCTGATAACACCAAGGTAGCCAGTTTGATCCCTGCATGGGCAGCTGTGAGCTATGCCCTCCTTAAAAAATAAAAATAAATAAAAAAATAGGAAAGAGGATAGATGGTACCTGATTAGAACTTAAAAAAGACGGTGGGGAAGGCCTCACTGGGAAGGTGAGGGAGGGAGTGGCATGAGAAGGTTCTTGGCGGAAGGAACAGCAAGTGCAAAGGCCCTGAGGCCGGCGGCACGTGTCAGGTGTGTTCTCTGTAGGCTGAGGAGACCGTTGCGATGGGCCATCTGACATAGGGCCTGGTTGGTTGGTATAGGAATGTTAACTCTTACTCTGAGTCAGGTGTGACCCCTGCAGGGTTTTGAGCAGAGGAGTGATTCGGCCTATCTTACATTTCATTTTATTCACTATTTTTGCTTTTGAAGAAAATCATTTTTTTAAAATTGTGATAAGACATACATATTATATTTACTGATTTACCCACTTTAAAATGTACAGTGCAGTGGCATGAAGCACATTCACACTGTTGTGCAGCCATCACCACCATCCATTTCCTGAATTTTGTTATCTTTCCAAAGTGAACCTCTGTTCCCATTAAACAACTCCCTATTCCCCTGCCCTGGCAACCACCAGTTTCCTGTCTGTCTCTAAGATTTGATCACTGTAAGTACATCACCATGGAGCCCTTCAGCATAAATCCCGTTCTTCCCATTTTGCCAAGATGGGGACACAGTGAGAGGCAGCGTCAGCATCAGATCTGGGGCACACTGGTCCCAGAGCTCACGCTCCTCCTGGTCATCGTGACCTGAGGCAGGAGGTTCTGAGCTGAGCTCATCCCAAGAGCTCCTGTTGACTCCTCAGCAGCTTTGCAACTTTGGTGTTACTCTTAGTTGACAGGAAATGGGCTCAGAGAGGGGATGTTGCTTGCTCAGAGTCGTACAAGAAGACAGTGCTTGAAACAGTCTGTGACTCTAAGGCTCCTGCTTCATTTGCTGCATGCCCCATGCAAAGGGAGCACACCC